ATGAAGTATATAGTTTTTTTTTAGTTTTCTATTTGCAAGTTATATATCATACTTATCTAAAATATAATAGAAATTTCTAAATGAAGTCTCAAATGAAGCAGAGGCTATCGATCTATTACAAGTTACCTTAGAACAGATGATTAAATTTGTTGGATACCATAATATTACAGAAATATGATCAGTTAACGTTAGAAATTCGTTACAAATCAAACACTATGTTATGTTACTATAAAATCATAGATATATTTGTTTATGTCTTTCAATTATACGAAATGGAGTTGTATGCAGGCATTACTTTCAGGTAATGCTAACTACAAAAATAGCGTTATTTCACATTCGACTTATACCATCACAATGGTATTATAGTAAAGAATTAGATGGATCAAAGGAGCCTTTTTTGGTTGCTGACAAATTTTTGCAAGAAAATGAAAATATAACATCCAGTCATAATGGATCGGTATTATTTTTGAGTAATTTTGATCAAACCGGAAAGGATATTTATGAAGAAAGATTAGGAGTTCTTGAACAAAAGTTAATATATGGCAAATTGCATAGGATATACAAAAAAGCATTACAGAAAGCATTACAGAATAATCATAAAACGTAACAGCTTATTGACCTACTCTAAGAATTCGCTGAAGAAGAAGATAGCAATGACTTATCAGACCTGAAAGAAGTTTTACAAGATGATAATACCAGCGATAAAGAAAATGAAGATCCTGCGATGGTTACATTACAAAATCTAAAGAAGCGTCAGGGCAAGGGTCGACTATTAGGTATCAAACAGTTTAAATCTTCCCATGAAGATTCTAAACCCATAGCAAAGAACCAGCGTTGGTGCAAAAATTGTGAAAACGTTGGTCATTACCAGAAGAATTGCAAAGTGATAAATCATGATTGATAAAATATATTGATATAGGCTGGAGTTGGTTTATATGTAAAATCGAAATGCTTATGTAATTAGGGCATAATAGTATTAGTATTGCGTATTACTTATTGTATATATGGTTATTTAATAAATAGTAATTATATTGCATTGCATATTACTCATTGTACTATTAACCTCTTGGATTCTTGTTAAGGAAAAGTTAATTTTACTCTTCGTTATCAATCAATAAATATAATATTGCTATCTCTGTCAGCGCTTCTGCAATGATTTCCAATTATTATTAATGTAGCTGCCTCAGCCGACGAATCTGCTATAACGAACAATGTAAAATAATAATGATAAAGTGCGAAGGTATAAGTTTTGGGTAAAGGTATCTTAAATCAAAGA